GGTGAATAACAGTTAAGCCTGCAGGAGAGATTTCTGCTTGGTTTACAGAAGGTCAAAAGTGAGGCCCCCCGCATTCCACAAGCTGTCTGTGAGAGCTTATCTTGTGTTTTATGACTTTAGGAATGCTAGATGCCAGGACAAGCTTTCCGCCTTTTCTTGTTAAAACAAAGAAGCAAATGACCCCAGATGTTTGCAGTAAATAAGGGGAAGCCCTAGCAGTGTCAGAGATGGCGTTTGATTGGAGGACCGAGGGCCAGCCCCTTTTTGAATGGATTAGATACAAGAGGATAAAGCTTTCTAATTAGAAGAAAAAGATCAGATTTGCCCTTGCAACTCTCCAAAGATGTCTTGTACGTCTTTGCTTTCTTTCCTCCTATGTCAGGTAATGGAATGTATGTCTCTGTTGTTCTGCAGTTTCTGGTGTAGGTTTGTGCATTGTCTTATTTCTAAGTTTATGCATTGTCTTATATTGGATTAAACTCTGTAATTCTGTGACGTCAACACGCAATGTTGGTTTTATTACCAAACGCAGCTCGCCGAGTGGACCTGGGGAAGGGAAGAATCAGAAGCCAATTTTTTTCCAAAGTTAACTATGTTAGAATATTTTCTTCCTTTACACTTTGTAGAGTAGATGTTTAAATATTTAATTTTAGCTGTTACAATTATTTGCTTTTATTCAAAGTAAATGTGTATTATTTTTAATATTATTATTATTATAATAAAAAGGTTAATTATTGTATTATGTCTTCTTTGCATAAATTGTTGCCAATTGATGAGTTATTCCTCTTTCTAAATTATATTTCCACTGGCTGCACTCAAAGAGAGCTCGGCCACAAGTTCAACATCCACAGAGCCACAGTGAGCAGGATCATTGTAACGTGGGCCAACTTTCTTTACACTCTGCTTGGGTCTGTTTCAATTTGGATGACAACTGATGCAGTCAAAGCAAATCGGCCTGTAGACTTCAATGGGACTTATGAAAACACTCACACTGCATGAAAAGTGGGATTTTCGTCAATATGCGGCACTGTAGATTGTCGTGGAACTTCAGGTTAGCGGCAGTTTACGACAATTTGCAGGCTTGGCCGAAAACTCCCGTAAATTGTCAGAAATTGACGTGGACTTTGTTAGGCAGTGTTCCCCCCATGCCTCCCCCCCATGGAATTCTAGGGGAGGCTTTAACATGTAAATGAACATGCTGTGAGCTATACAAATGCAAATCAGGGTTGCAGGGGGGGTTTTACTCCAAGTGACATTTTTCTAAAAGGTAAGAAAATCTCTGATACAAAGAGATCAGGGTCAGTATAGCCTCTTACATTTTAGCTTGAATTGATTTATTTAATTAAAGTATAGAGACCAAAACAGATCTTTAGCTGACAGAGCAATACATTTAGAGCAGTAATTATATATAAAAAAAATTGCATTTAAGATAAAAAAATAAAATGTTGTCTGTCAATATGCTCAATTCACAATAACTTAAGTGGAAAAGTTTCAAGAAATGAGTCTGAGATGATTCACTTTATAACATGGCGCATTATCCTGTTGGAAGTAGCCATCAGAAGATTGGTACACTGTGGTCATAAGGTCCGGCCAGGTCAAGATCCGCAATTGCAATCGCACCAAACAGGAAAAAGAACATCGACAAATTCCGGTTCGTCAAATTAAAATATAGCAGCAACAGATCGGTGACTAGAAATTATAGCACAATTCTTATATATAAAAAAAAAAACTAACACCGTTTATTTAAATGATTGGATCCAAACTATTGGTTATTCACCAACGAGGAAGCAGATTTCTCATCTCCATCAAAATATTTATTTTATACCGAGGGACTTAAACTTTAATCAAATCCATTCAAAAGAAACTTCTTATTACAGGAATGAAAAGAGATGCTGAGTTTGGGAGAAGAGAACAAGTTCATTCAAAAAAAGCAGTTTTGAATTATCCTTATCCCCGTTACAAAAATCTACAAAAATATAAATATATATTTGGGCAGAAGCTGAACATATGCTGGATGATGGTGGGATTTTTTTAATATGTCATATTAAATTAAGCGCTCACAGGGTTCATACAGGAATGAGTGACTCTAATTTAATGCTATTTTAATGCTATTTGAAATTATTTTAATGCCATCAACAAGAACCATGTACACAAGTTATTAGTGTACATGAAATATGAAGGAGCTGTAAGCAGAGTTCCATGACTCCTGTATGTATGTAAACACAGACACACATATATACGTATATATATATATATATATATATATCCTCTAGCTTTTTCTCCGCCTGGAGCGATATAATATATCTGACGAAATTGTTTTTATAAGCATTTTTTATTAAAGAATTATAAATACTTCGATAAACATATTTAAATAATTTTAGTGCCAATTAAGGCCTTGATTTAAAAAAAATGAATGATTTTTTAATTATTTTTATTTATCCGCGGAAACTCTGGTTCATCTCGCGCATGCTCCCTACGATCTCCAAGAAACTCAGAGCGGCGCGGTGTGCAGCCACAGTGGAGGATGGATGCTTTGCTTTGTGCAGGCGGTCAGGAGCGGAGAATGGGGGATTTCGGGGTAAAACTCCTCTTGGACGCGATGGCGACTCTGCATCGAACAAGACGAACTCAAAGAAGAGATGCTAGCGGTAAATATATGTTCGATTACTGCCTGCTAGTCTAAAAGCAGCCTAGCCTAAGCTACGGCTAATAGCAGCCTAGCCTAAAGCTAACGCTAACAGTAGCCTTGCAAGAACAAGCTTTATTGAAGTGTATTTTTTGTGATTCACAGGAAGCAGTACGCCGTCTTCACAACTCGGAGACTAATTGCAGGCGCTATGAACCGGAGCAAGGGTAAGATTTAAAGAATATGCTTTCATTCTGCGGTAAAAGGCAATGGATACGGATAGATACCGATCATAGCTTTACATTTTGTTTTCACAGACCTCCTATTTGCTCGGAGCCATATCAGCAAGTCCAGATTTGCACGATGTTGATAAAGACGACATTGTGTGTAAGTGACTTGTTTTAATGTTTTCTCCTTCCTTGTTACTGTGACTTGCGTTTGATTTTTTATTTATACCACTCTCATTTAATTGTTTTCCAGCTGCCTGTAAGACGTATTTTCAGACGGTACGCAGGAGCTTCAGATATACGCAGCCAGCCAACACGCTGCGTGCGGAGGCTATCTGCTCGGAGTCGGGCCAGAAGAAAGAGGGTAAGACTTTATTTGGTGACTATTTTTCAGGTGCATTAATAGATGTGTTGTGTCCATACGCAGTGCGCTGATTCATTGTTTTTTTTTTCAGCTGCTGAAAGCGAGGCAGAGTGTGCTGGCAGATGAGGAAGTGGAACTCTGGAAGTCCGCCTTCCTCCGCGGTGTCTCTGGATGGATTGTACGGTCGCCGCCATTTTGTAGGCCGGATCTCACTGAACTATGTGTTAAGCTGCAGTCCCGGTTAGAAGCGATGCCGAAGTACAGGGCCGCGCACAGTAGGCGTCTGTACATCGGACCTGCCTCGGAGGGAATGCTGCCAGTTACCTCCAACCCCGAGGAAGCAAACGGACCGTTCACAGACTTTTAATTTTATAGAAACGCATGTGTTTGGATACGCGTTGTATATAGTTGTGTGTGTGTTTCAATAAAGCTCTTTCTTTGCATAAACAGCTTCCTGGCAAATGTTCATTTCCTGTATAAATTCATTCATGTCCTTGATGGTAGCATAATAATTGTGTAGTAGTGTAGGATAACATAAATACACAGCATATGAATGAATAAATATATGAATGAATAAATATATGAATGAATAAATATATATATGAATAAATATATATATGAATAAATATATATATGTAAATATATATATATGCCAACCAATCACGAGCGACTTTACTTGTTTAAAAAGAAGTGGTTCCGTCCAATACTCAGTAAGAAAATTAAAGCCTGGCGTGGCCACGTGTGGTTTTGCTGCCAATCACGAGCGATTTCATTTGTTTGAGAATAGTGGTTTCAGCCAATACTGAGAAGGTTATTCAAGCCAGACCTGGCCAGCCGCGCGGGTTTGCTGCATTCATATGCTAATTAGGGCCATTAGTACAGCTGATCGCTCTCCACATACGTCAGAGTCCGTTTCCGACAATTTGTGGCACGACAAACGCGGACAAGCGCGGGTTGCATATTGTCGGAAACTGACGAAAATCAGGCAGATCTGCGGGAGTTTACGGGGGTCTACGGGGACGAAAATCTCACTTTTCATGCAGTGTCATGTAATTTTGGACTGCACAGAAATGAGATGCCAAACTCCTTCCTCACTTCTACTACAGAGTGAGGTTTTCTCGACCTACAAGTCGCACTGCACCTTCAAAGCCCTGATAGGCATGTCCCCCCGTGGAGCACTGACTTTTTTGTCTGCGCTGTTTGAGGGTTCCATCAGTGACAAGGAGATCTTCTGTCAGTGTGGCATCACCTCCCTTCTAACACCTGAAATGGAAACAATGGTGGACAAAGGGTTTCTGATGGATGAGCTGGTGTCTGGGAAAGTTCACCATCCCGCCTTTCTGTCCAAGGAGGAGCAGATGCCTGAGGTGGATGTTCTCAGGACCCAGTCCATAGCTCGCCTCAGAGTCCATGTCGAGAGGCTCATTAGGAGAGTCAAAGAAAACAACTTTTTGATACAGTTATCCCAGTCCCCATTTCTGGGAGCATTAATCAAATTTTTACAGTTGCTTGTCTCCTCACAAACTACCAGTATGGACCCCTGGTTAAGAAGTGGGCACACGCTGAGTAGCTGCTCTAGTTCTTATTTTATAGATTTGTAGAAACTGTTCATATCATTACTTTACCAACTACAGTTCACATTTTTTACATGTCCCAGGGAATTAATTTTTGAGAGAAGTTTTTTTTTTTGTAAAAGTATTCACATTAAAAGTATTCACAGCAAACAAGGATTGTTCATTCGAGTTTTTAATTGTGTTATTTTATATTATTGTGTGATAACATGCACATATTGCAATTTAAATGTTTATGTTCTGGAACACACAAACATGCAGTCTGATGGGTCCAGTCTGTAGTCTTGGAGTGGCAATGATGGAGGAGGTGGAGCACGATGAAAGCTTTGGGCTTTCTCCTTTACTGGCTGCTGATAAGACAGTGGACTTCCAATTTGCACCTTGTCAAAAACAGAGTCCACTTGTGGAATCTCAGCACTGATTCCCATGCTGCAAATGATTGGGAGGTCGGTCGGAGAGAAATCCTTGTAGGGTTCACTTAGACGGAGAACAGAGAGATCAGGTAGGTCCCCATGAACACCTTTGTAAAGTGTGCTCCTGGAAGACAACAACAAATTATTAAACAGGAGATAATGAAAGTACTGAAATATAATAGATAACAAAAGAGACCTTTTACAATACTTGTCCTGCAGTGAGGAAATTTTAGCGTTGAAATACACATTACAGAAATAGAGTTTGCTCCAAAAAAAAAATTGGATACACATAAGATAAACACGATAAACACCTGTTTTATGCATATGTACAAATATACATATTTGCTGCATACTAATTAGTAGGCCTATATGCTATTAAACTATAAACCATAATTGCACTTGTTCAGTACAGTGATGCTTTAAAAAATGAAAACATTATTAATAAAATTGTAGATTTTGACAGCAGCTCATTTGTACGCTACACAAATACAATTCTGTGAAAATTGTAAGCTTCTGACTTAATTCAAATGCTATAGAATTCATAAAGCTTTTATTTAAAATGTACCGTACACTCAGAAAAAAGGGTACAGTAGGAGTACATTTCTGTCCCCTGAGGTACAGTTTGGACATGTGTACCCCTATAGGGCTGGAAATTGGACTTTATGGCACATATTTGTACTTTTTGAGGTCCTGAAAGGTACATTTTTGTTCCCAACTAGTAAATGGTACAAATATGTACTCTTTATTAATAATTTTAGGGTACACTTTCAGAAGACGGAAAACAAGGAAAGAAAACTGATAAGACAGTAATTAGATGGTATTGATTCAATGTAGATTTTACAATAAATGGCTGTGGAAGAGTATTTTGGGAAGAAAAAAATTCTTTAAGAAGAAAAAATTCTTTAAGAAGATTTTTTTTCTTTAAGAAAAAAATATTATCTTAAAGAAAAGAATTTTCTTTAAAAAAAATCTATGTTTACTCTAATATATTTAATACAGTTTGCATTGTTATATTTCATATTATATTGTGATTTTGCTCATATTTTGTCACACTGGCAAATGATTGTCACTTGCTCTTGGAGGCGGAGCTTTTTTCCCAAGTTTAACTTGATTGGTTGAATCAGCTGTCCACTATATACAATCAGCACCGATTGGCTGTCTTTTGAATTTAGCAAGCTATACTGTTGAAATCGATCTGTTTCCAGTTTGTGGAGGAAAGCACAATGACATTTGCAGGACTTTCAACCGAGGACCTATTAAGAACAATAAAAGAAGAAGGCATAGACATCTCGGAATCAGAAGCGCAGAGATTCAGAGGTAAGCTGTAAATTGTTATAATTTGCCATTAAAATTAGCCAGACAATGTCTGCATGTTAGTATTAGCGTCAGCTAGCGCTAATGCTAACATTGGCGCGAGCTAGCGCTAATGCTAACATTGGCGCGAGCTAATGCTAATATTAGCATTAGCTCGCGGTTCTCATTCAGTAAATGTGCTAACATTCAACCAACTTTAGAATTTTATTTTTGGTATGCCGCGCCAAATTTATTTATTTTTCATTACTATAATTGTATTAAGTCGTGCAAGTCAGTAGTTAATATTGTCTCCTTCAGGTTAGCCACTTGATTTGCTATTGCTGTATTGCGCCTTTTTTACTTTGGCTGAAATAAAATGGCGCGATGTTCTAAATGCTAAGCTGTTATGTGTAACAAAGATTGGATTTTCCCTTTTCAACTTTGTCTTAAATCTTTTTTTTTCCACAATATTTCTTTCACTCTTACATTTTAAATAAAGATTTAGCAGTAAGCCTGCAAATGCTTCTTCAAGTACTTGTGGTTCCTTATGACATATGGCTTTTTAGGTGTACAGATGTTTTCCAAAACATGAATTTTAATCTAAAAAGTTTAATGTACCTGATATGCTAAATGGTTTTCAAAACTACAAAACACTGTAAAATATGTTGGTTTTTGTTTTGTTTTTTTGCAGCTCTGTGATGAATTGCAGCGTATTCATCCTGAAATGGAAAATGTGCAACAACGATTCAGTGAAGCCTTTGCCTGTATTATGCCAAAAGTGCTTAATCTTACACAAGGGAAGTCTCCTCTTTACCAGCTCTACCAGGAGGCAAGAGATGAGGCTCTCTCTGAAGATGTAGCAGGTATAAATTATATGATGTCCATGCTGGGGGGTTTTAATGTTTTAATTTCTAATTTAAAAAATAAAATAAAAAATTGTGTTGATTTAGGTATTGTGGGAAACAGATTCATTGCTATTTAAACTAATTACTATTTTCTTTTTACAAAACACATGCAATGTACTTCAGCAAAATTGGAAGCAATAAATTCCTGATTATATGTCAAATATATCTTATGTCTTACAGATATTGACAGAAGAGCCGCCCTCATTTTTCTCCCATACATCTTCAGAGAGAAAACTGATCTCTTTATCATGCTTGGAGAGGTATGTCTAATTTGCAAATATCTGTTTGTTAAGCTAACCACTTTGTACAGTACAGCAAACTTAGTGACTTTAGCATTCCTAAAGTCTAACTTAAATAAATTGTGTGTTAAAACAAAACTAGCTAAAAGGATACTGCCATTACATATGATTAGTATGTTTCAAATTTGATTCAATTTACACTGCATTCTACTTAACACTGTAAGGCATTGTAATGCTGGATTATGTATTAATGTAAAAAAAATAATCCTTACTTCAAAAAACATTTTCATTAAAACCAGATATTGTAGTAATTGCCACAAAAGGTTATAAATTCTGTTGAAACATTTTGTTAGAAAATGGGGCAGTTTTTCATTTACGCAATATATATTATTTATTTTAAAAACTATCTCAAACCAGTGTGTGCATTTGTTGTAATTGACATTGATTTAATAACTCTTATTTTATGGGTCCTAGACATTTTAATCTTTAAAATTTCTTCAATAAATGCCAGGATTTGGTCATTATCCACCTTCTTTGACTGAAACCTCAGTAATAACCTTACAGGTTATTAAATGTTCAACAGGAACGTCAAAATACATCAACAGTTGTGTGTCGATTTTTCCTTTTGTGGACCGTAACAAAAATGGTAACAGGCGCTGTAAAATCAAAATGGAGAATATTTCTTTTAAATGTAAAAACATTTATATATATACGTATATATATATATCAGTGACGTGCGGTGAGGTTCATAGCTGGTGAGGCACTGACGTCATCAGAATCAGATTTGCAAATAGATGCATAGATTGACAGCAGTTTACATGTTATGTTTCACTTCTGCATCCTTACACATACAAACTGTAGCTCACAAAACACACATTTCCTTAAAAAACAAAACAAAATAAATGTTATTACTGTCTTACCTTTACTTATAAATGAATAGAAGTCCTCCTTATCTTCCTTCAGTTTTAAAAGTCTCTCTGTCTCAATGGAGATCACTGCCAGGGAAGAAAGCCTTCCTTGATCCGTCCTGTTCCTGCCTTATGTTTTCAGTCTCTTGAGCACCCCCTGCCATGAGGCAAGAGAACTGCCTGCCTCACCTCGAACTTGTTCTCTGCCGTTTATAATCGCTCATTACACGAAACACGTTACACAAACACAGTTGGTGACAAAAAGCTCTGTACATTATATACATAAGCCAAATTATTAGAAATAAGTTCACATATTACATTTGTTTAAACCATTTTATTGACGCCGTACAGCAACATGCTCTCTCCGCTTTGCAGCCAGCGCAGAGCCAGGGGTTGCGCAATCCAAGGTGAGGCAGAGCTCGCTGCTGCCTCACCGGCATCGCTTCCAAGCATTTGAATGGGAAAATAAGAAAATTCAGCGATTTTGAACAAATAAAAATCGAAATTGGTGAAGCTACATGAAAAATGAATATTTTTTAGTACAAACCACCGGATGAATATAACAATTTAAATTACTTTATGATTATATATTTTCTTTCTTTCCATGATGGCTGGTGAGGCACTGCCTCACCTGCCTCCCCTGACCGCACGTCACTGATATATATATATATATATATATATATATATATATATATATATATATATATATATATATCTCAAGATACCTTCCTAGACTTTGATATTCACATTATTCTAAAATGTCAGAAATCCTCCTACACGCAGAGTAGGTTCTTTTGCAGAACAAACAAGGGTTTGTTTGTTCCAATTCTTATCTAACAATCATCCTAAAAGAAATGAAATTTTCAGCATCATAGAGAGGTATTGTGGTTTTAGTGGTGTTTTGTTACATTTTTAAGATGCAGTATTTCAATGTATTACTTAATGTAGAGTATTATAGGCTATTATGTTAATTTTCTGTGTTCTTATTTCCGTTTTGCTTTCAAATAGTGTGATTCCCCATCCCCTTACCCAACAATTCACTTGACTGGCCAAGACTGGAAAATGGCTTTTACAAGGAGAGCTGCAACCATTGTGAAAGCAGACAACATTGTGGTGTGTCACACTCAAACAGTTGATGAAGGGATCATCTCAGCTTTCTGCACTTACTTTGTCTTCAACCTGGCATACCCAAGACACCTGAAGAACACACTAATGTTCCTCCAAAGGTACATTGCAGGACTAGCTGAGGAAGGGGACCGGCCTCTGCCATTAACTGTCACCAGGAAAATAAATCTCCTCTATTGACATTATGCCTCGTCCCTACCAGTGCCCCAAATGCCCAAGGAGAGCTTTTACCTTAATGAAGCTGATTCAGCACATAGGACTTATTCATGCACATGAGGCTAACTTTGATGTTGCATGTGGACTTGATGATTGCCAGTCAACATTTACCAAATATGAGTCTTTTCGACGACATGTATACAGAAAACATAGGGTCAAAATTTTAGGTCCTGACAATGAATGTGAGAAAAGTGAGCGTGTCATTGATGACTTGGATGAACCTTTGACAGAAAAAGTTTTGGAAAATACTCCCTCTTATGGTGAGCTGTTAACTAGTTTCAAAGAAAATCTTTTTAATTTTATTCTGAAATGCAGGGAGAAAAATCATCAGAGGCTGTGCCACTATTTTGGCAAATAAAATACATCCTCAACATTGACACAATGTGGATTCTTTGTGGCAAAATGCTGATTCCCCTATCATTTGACCGCCACTTTCATGCATACAGAGTAAAGGTTGATGCAGAATGGACTTTACTGCAAGCAGGATGTGGACATGAAATTGACTTTCAGCCAAACGACACGTATTCTGTTGATGACATTTTGTCATTGACATTCTTTCTAAGTTTTGAATGAAATGAAAACTTGAAATGTTAAAATAGAAAATAAAGCCTAGTTTTGTACATTACCTAAAATGATATGTAAGTGGTGGTTTTAAAAAATAAAAGTAAATGAAAATTAAATAATTGTTTTTCTTGTTTTTTATGTATATATTTTTTTTGCTTTTCTAAAAGAGAACAAGATTGTCGCTAAAGGTACAATTCTAAACCCATAAGGTACAATCTATAGGGGTACAAATAAGTACCCACTGTTGAGGGTACAACAGAAGTACCTTTGAGGGTACAATTTTAAACCTATAAGGTACAATCTATAGGGGTACATATAAGTACCCACTGTTAAGGGTACAAATTTTGTACCTTTGAGGGTACCACCCCAGTGACAAGCCTTTGTACCCTTAAAGGTACAATTAGGTACTTTTTTTTCTGAGAGTGTATGCCACTTCCATAACATTAGAGTCTTACAAAATTTAGGGACTTACCGGACTCCCTCAGTGGTCTTTCTCCTCTTTGGTTTGGCAGATAACACAGTCATCTTATCAACTGGCCCAGGCTTTATTCCCTGTTATATACAAACACATTTAAATCTATTCATTTATTTTATTTATTGTATGTATATTATGACATAACCTACCAGTACTCTGGGCTTTTGCCATTGCTGTTCTCCCTCAGTGCAGCTCATCATCGGGGGCACCACTTGGAGCTTCAGCTGGGAGTAATGGGCACACTGAAAAAGCAAAGCAACACAGTGGTTACATAAGGCTTTTCCAGCCTTACAGGAGCAGCTGAAGTGTAGTAGTTCCACAGACTGTGAGTCTTTCAGAACCACCTGAAAAGTACAATGTTATTTAGTTATTTTTTACTCACATCATTCAATCTGGAACAGAGGCTATTTTTATAGATGGTGACAACCATCAATAAAGAAAGCCTGAAAAACCTTAAACCTGATTATTTGTTTAAACATTTTTTAGCTTTTTTCCCCTAATATAATCACCTGTATATTACGTTGAAATGCCTGAAAAATTTACCCTAATGAATAGTATTTGCCTGGCATTATGATAAAAAATATACCATAATTTAGGTTGTCATCACAGATTACATGCACTGAAAACCATTCAACTCTGCTGCTTCCTATGATCATACTCTGAGTTTGTGAGCTTTCTCTGACTTCCTCATCGACCTGAAGCACTCTGCCCTGACCACCACCTCTCCTGAATCCTGATTTTTGTCAGACACTGCAGAAACAAATGATAAAAATGTTAGTGAAGTGTTAAGACTACAAATGATATTAATACAACATCAACAATGTGTTGGGATCCGGAGGCTTGCCCACCAGAGGGCGCCAAGGATCCCCCTCCTGGGTTTGTTTTTCTGTTTTGTTTCTGTTTTTAGAGCCCCGTAGTGTTTTAGTGCCTTTAGTTTCAGAACCCGTCACCTGCTCTGTATCTCCGTCTTTTGAGCCCATTAGCATCCCTGAATCATTAGCGTCAGAGCTAACTCAGACCCCTGAGTTAGCTCTGTGCCGTCCAGAGACCCCTGAGCAGATCTTTAAAGAGGTGTCTGAATTCGGGGTATGTGGTAATACACCCCCTAGGGCCTCACCGCCAAGAGCCCTCTGCGGGCACTTCAAGCCACCTCAAAGACTGAACCTGTGCCGCTGTGGGCGGTTTCCTCCATGCTGGTTTTGGAGCCACAGTCGGTGGTCTCCTCTGTTCCTGATTTGGAGCCACAGTCGGTGGTCTCCTCTGTTCCTGATTTGGAGCCACAGTCGGTGGTCTCCTCTGTTCCTGATTTGGAGCCACAGTCGGTGGTCTCATCTGTTCCTGATTTGGAGCCACAGTCGGTGGTCTCCTCTGTTCCTGACCCGGAGCCGCAATCTGCGGGCTCCTCTGTTCCTGACCCGGAGTGGGTTGTTTTTTGTTATGGACACTGTTTTTTCTTGCCCTCCATGCCTGTTTCCCACAACCCACCCATGTTTTTTCATGGACTGTTCTGGTGCGTCTTGTATCCGCCCTTGGGGGGGGGGGGGGGTGTGTACTGTTGGGATCCGGATGCTTGGCCACCAGAGGGCGCCAAGGATCCCCTCCTGGGTTTGTTTTTCTGTTTTGTTTCTGTTTTCTCCACCAGAGGGCGTACTGGATCTCCTGAGGCTGGAGCTGACTTCTCCAGCTGTTCTTCATCTGCTCTTCAGGAGACCAGTACTTAAGTGGGCTGAGGAACAGACTCCGGTGCCAGAGTGTTAGTCAATCATGGTACACCAAACCCTGAGCCAACTAGTCAGTCCTGTCTCCTGACCACCAGACCTGAACCTGAATCCTTGTCTTCTCTGTTTCTCAGGTCAAACCTGCCAGCAACCAAAGACCCCCAGAAGAGTTGCTGTTGAAGATCGGTCTGTCTGATCTCAGCAGAACCCTGGAGAACTAAGCCGCAACTCCTCAGCCTGCCGTCTGCCTCTGAACCCTCCTGGTTCCCTCCTTCGGCCTGCTCACCTCAAGCCTCAGTCCTCAGCCTGCCATCTGCCTCTGAACCCTCCTGGCTCCCCCCTTCGGCCTGCTCAGCTCACCCTTTGGCCTGCTCAGTTCAAGCCTCAGCCCTCAGCCAGCCGTCTGCCTTCAAACCCACATCTGGAGGTCTTCAAGCTTCAGCCAAGCCAAGCCGCCCCTAAGGCCTCAGTCTGCCGCCAGCCTCTGGACCCTCCTTGGAGTCATCCCCTCTGTTGCTCTGCTCAGCTCCAGGTCAGCAATCCAGCCGTGACCAGCCCTGGACCTGATAACACCCTGACCAGCTTCCTCTCTCGTTTCAATAAACTTTTGAACTTTTATCCTGCCTCCTGAGTGTGATCTGCATATGGGCTAGAACCTTACACCCAACATGACACAATGCACTATTAGGAGTTAAACTGTCTCAATCTAAAGAACTCAGAAGAGGTCTATAGATTAAATTGAGATATAGCTTATTTCTATATGCCAAATCTTTTCCTTTTCTGTATTGCTAATAGCTGGTAAAAGGCATTGTTGATATATGAAACAAGCCAAGTTTGTCATAGTTTGCGGTTTTTGGAGGCTGACAGTAGCCTGGCTCTGCTTTCATCCGTCTCAATTGTACCAGGCTAGGCTAACACCATCTTCAATGAAAATGCATTAGCGTTATCGTAGCTACCAGCGGTAGAATTTACGTACACAATTTATGAACACAAACCGTATGTTTAATAATTAGTCAATATTAGTTTCAATATGTTAATTGACAATAGACAGTAAAGTTAACACGAATGTAGCATTAGCAAGTTTTGTTGCGCCTTACCTTCGAAGTTGTAGAGGTATTGTGAAATGTAGAATTTAAATCCTTTCTCGCGCTTGCTCTGGAGAGCAGGAGAAAACATGTCCACAAGTCTGTGAACATCATCGATAGAGATGTTTGGCAGATGACCTAAACATCAGGAGAAATTCAGCTCACTGCTTGCACCATCCATTTTTCAGCCGTCTGCTCTGGCAGCGCGTCAAGCAGGTGGAAGTTGTCTCATCAACTTAGCTTTCATAAGCGGAAGTAGAATTTGCTATCGTGCACAGAGTCTATTGTCCCATCTAGGGACCATCGAAGCTCACTAGTTTCAAGATGCATTGTGGGTAACTTTGAGTGCACTACTTTTTTCTTTCTGGACATTCGGACACCCCTACAAAATGGTGTGATCCCTATATAGGGCCCTATGTAGGGAGTAGGGAGGACATTCGGACACAGCCAATGTCGCTGCTAGCTGCTAAGCTAGCTTCTTTAGCACCGCCTGAAATCAGCTGATTACCTGTCGAGGATTAATGCCGATTAATGACCAGCTTTGTCAGAGAGGAGGAGGATGACATAGACTATGAGGAAAAAAGAAATAAATCCACCGTGCTGTGCTGTTTGAGCAGGAATTCATCAGTTTTCAGTGCTGTAACAGTGGATTAATGGACCAGGGAGCAGTGGATTATATTTATTCAGTGAGGATGTGCAGTTGGTAAGTGTTGCTAACACTGTGTTACAAAAGCTAACACAGTTGTTGCTGTATGAGGAACTTCACATCAGACGTCTGCTTCTTATATTCATCAGAGTCCAGCCCTTTTACTCCAAGGATTCTCTCTATCAACCGTACCGCTACGTTTTAATCACATTTTTGTCTGTTGGGACCATGGGCAGAGTTAAGGGGGGGGCAGGGGGGGCACTGCCCCCCATGGTGGCTGAAGCATGTAATGACATTAAGTCAAGGAAATGGCAAAATATAAATGTTAAAAATGTATACGTACTGATTGTTTAATGTTTTGATTAAAATACATGGTAGTATGAAATTAATATGAATCTTAGTACATTTTTTTAAGAGATTTATTTTTCAGCAATCATGTGACATAGTGACGTTGAATACTGTTTCCCGCTACTTGGGGGTTTCCCACTCAGTATTTATCTCGCTAGCATACAGTTGTAGCCTTGTGTAAGTGATTGCAAACTGAAAATGGATATTCGACGTTTTTTAAAACGTCCCATGACCTCTGCCAACACTCAGCAAGAAGACGAAGCAGAGCCAGAACCAACAAATGCTGATCTGGAAACACCTGGGACCAGCTCGGCAAACCCAGCTAGCTCACCATCGGGAGCGGGGCTATCGTCGGGGTCAGTTAGCTTGCCTAGCAGCTCTACTACGGTGCAGCAGTTACCAAATGATCTTGGCGACAAGCACTGCTCTCCTAAGCAGCCTATTCTTCCAGATTTTCCTTTAAAATTGTTTGGAAAAACTAAACGAGCCTTTTCCACGTACTACTACAACAAGTACTGTTGGCTTGAATACTCAATTTTAAAGGATGCTGTCTTCTGTTTCGCCTGCCGCCACTTCCAGACTGACAGCAGCGTGGAGCAATCGTTCCGAAAGGGCATAAGTGACTGGAAAAAACTAAGCATCAAACTGGAAAAACATGCAAATGACCCTTTTCAGGTCAGTCTCGGCTATCAACCTCCTCTTTTCCCCGCAGACGAGAGAGAGATATCAGTCCAATCCGTCAATCAGCACATCCGCCGTTGCCAGCGCATCTGGAGGGATACCATCACCTCTCTCAACCGTTCCTCTGAGACGACCAAACGATTCGCCGACACCAAGAGACGTCCTGCCCCTGAGTACTCGGTTGGACAGGAAGTATGGCTGTCCACACGGGACATTCCCCTCAAAGGAATGTCACGTAAACTCTCGCCCAAGTTCATCTGTCCTTACAAGATTGTCCAGGTAATCAATCCATCTGTCATACGTTTGCAACTTCCTCCGACCCTACGCATCCATCCCACGTTCCACGTCTCCCAAGTAAAACCTGTCATCTCGAGTCCTCTTTGCCCTCCATCCGACTCCCCTCCACCCGCCCTGGAAGTCGATGGACATCCCGCCTTCACCGTCCGCCAGATCGTGGACTCCCGTCGGCGAGGTCGCGGCTGGCAGTACCTCGTCGATTGGGAGGGCTACGGTCCGGAGGACCGCCAGTGGGTTCCTGGTTCCTACATCCTCGACCCTTCCCTGATCGAGGAGTACGAGCGCTCCCTCCCATCTACCTCTTCCGCACCGCCAAGAGGCGGTCGTTGAGGGGGGGGGTACTGTTGGGAGCTGGAGAAGTTCCACCTTCCTCCAGCAGAGTCCGCCGTGGATCCTCCTGAGCTGAGCTGCCTGCACACCTGTGACTGATCATCTCATCAGGAGGACCACAGTATTTAAGCTGTCTTCAGACCTTGCCTCGACGCCGCAGTGTTTAATCAGTTTGGTTAGCACCTAAGCAGTGGCGGCCGGCCCATAGGGGGCGCTGGGGCACCGCCCTCCCTGATAAGAAGAGAGAAACGTAAAATATATTTTTAGAAATTAACTCATAAATGTCAGTTTTACTCTCTAGACTGTGTACCTATAAGCAAAACAGATTATATAAACTACATTTTCCTATCTACTGTCATTAATTTGTGGATTTTCACAGACAGACTCCTACCGTCTCTGTTCTGGGGGCGCTGATCAGACTGACCCACATTTGCAGAGAATCTGTCAATCATGTATTATTGCTAGGTGAATTTAATGGCCAATCAGCGTCTCGGAACTTTATGGTCTTGGGGCGCTGAAAATACTGAGCTTTAACAGGCTTCTGAACCCAAGCGCAGGTGCAGACAGTTAGAGGGAAGATGGCGAACGTAACGAACGAGATGCAGCTTCCACCAAATTCGGTGAGATCCTTATTTATCTACCCGTTTGCCAGAAGAACATCCCTGTTGTAGGATATGAACATTTCATGTCATGGTTATTGTGACTGTGACGAATCCACCTCGTCGCTTAAAACAACCTCTCTAACTTTGCGCGCCACACACACATTCCTGTTATACTGTGTTTGTGAGGACCAATACACTCGCGCTGAGACCAGTAGCTCCATGAACTTAAAACACACAAGCTGTTCCTGGTTACCTGCTGGCGTATTGAGGGTGCACACTTAATATTTCAGTGGGGTTAGCCGTGTGTGTGTGTGTGTGTGTGTGTGTGGGTGTGTGGGTGGTGTGTGTGTGAGCTATGGGGACTTGTCATCTTCAGTCTGGCTGCGTCTTTGCTGGGTTCAAACCCAGTTTGGTGTAATTGAATAAGTCAATGAATCTGTGTAAAAGAATTAAGTTGTAAAAATTATTTGTTTTTGTACATCAATTGTTTGTGGAGGTAATATATGGACAAAACTGATTAATGAGAAGAAATCAGAAATAAGAGAGCCTGAGGGGAGGGGCTTAAACTATTTAATGAGGGCTGTGGGAAGAAGAGCGGCCATTTTTGTTTTCTGTTTCTTTGTTACATTGCTGGTAACTGGAGGGAGGCTGAGGCCCAGAGTATCTTGTACATGTTTAGTTTCTTTTGCACCCTGTTTTGAGTTTTTGAGCTCAATAAATCACCAACACCGGTAACCCGACTGAGCCTGGATTCTTGGAGGCCAAAGAACCCCGTCACAGTGACCCAAATCATCACTGTTACTGTTATTATATAGTAAATTAAATCATTACTGTTAAATTGTATGTATTGTCCAATTGTTTATTTGAATTCTTATTCCGGATTAGTTGGAGACATACACTAGGCTATATCAGCCCCACCAAAAATATTTTTCACCAGCCGCCACTGCACCTAAGCCTAGAACCTCCTGAGAACTTTGCTATCTCTGAGTCCAGTTTGGATTCTAACCTTTTGTCTCTGCCTCCAGGTTACCGGTTTTTCTCCTGTGAAGCTCTGGAAGAGCTTAACCTGCCGAGCCTGCCCTCTGAGCCAAACCTGAAGACTCTCTTCTGGATTTCCAAGCAGCTCTGGATTTAGAGCTGGAAACTCAAACCAAGGTCAACACCCTCACTAGAAGTAAGACGCTGAAAAAGTTATCGGACTCTGCTGAACCAAACCATCTCCGGACCCAACAGTTCCTCTCCCAAAGTCTCTTCTACGCATCTCAAGGTACAAACAAGAAACTCTCAAGATCAATTCCAACCAAGCCAACGCTAACTGAACTGTCTCCCTCACAGACTCCAGTGAACCAGTCCCCAGGCCTGAACCAGCAAACTGTACATTTACTACGTGCTTGTGTAACAATAAACTTGTTAACCTTTCCCCTGAGTCCGTTGTGTTCTGCATCTTGGGCCTCTCAGTAAACCCATCATGACAGGTTTGCAATTTTTTCTCAAAATATGATTCTGACTTTCAAAGTATGCAGTCTAATTATTTCAATGCTACAAGTCCAGATTTTCAGAACGAAATAACTGAGATATGCGCAAATTTGGTTCATGCAGAAAGTGCAGGACGCAGGGTTTTTTGCTGTTATCGCAGATGAGGCCAGGTCATCCAAAACTGAGCAGCTGTCAGTCTGTTTGAGATAGACAGAGCAGCTTCAAATCAAAGAGCGGTTTTTGTGTTTTATTGATTGCTCCGCATCTCGAAAAGCAGCTGGGATCGTGGATGCCATAAACAGTGGATTGGAGATGTGCGGACTGAAAAATATCCCAATTGTTGCCCAGAGCTACGATGGTGCCTCTGTAATGTCTGGCCGAGTGTCTGGAGTGCAGCAGCACATTAAAGAGATCCATCCATACGCAGCGTACATACACTGCTTGGCTCACAAACTGAATCTCGTACTTGTGGACTGCTGCACGGTGAACCATAGTTTTAAAACATTCCTGAATGTTATCAACAAATTTTACTCAGTATTTGCAGAGCCTGCAAACCACCATCGCTTTATTGAAGTCCAGAAATCTCTGGATATGAAGCCAACCGAAATTGTCACTTGCACTTGCCACTTGCATGCCCAGCAAGACGCGCTGGGCATGCAAGTGGCGTGCTCTGCATGCCGTTAAAACACACTACTCTGCGATCACAACGATTGCCTGAAAGAAATGAGTGATGAGGGAGAAAAATGGTCAGTGGAGG